CAAATGAGCAAAAAAAAAAAAAAGAAAAAAAAAGGAGACGAGGATATTCCCATCAGAACGTTCTATCCCGCACTGTAGTCCTCAACCTGGAGTCCATACGTGGGGAAAGGGCCCGGTGAGAGGACGCGGGGCTAGACGTGGGCATCTCTTTGGAGTTGTGAGTCGACTTCGGATTACACTTACAGTAGGTATCACACGGGCAGATGATTTGACGCTATATCCAGAGGCGACAACGTAACTATTAATCAGTACTAGTTTGACAGAGTTCCAGCCATACCATCACTCATAATACTTGCCCTTTAAGTAGAGTGTCAAGCCTGGCTAGTCATCTACTACCAGGCGGCTCACCGTTATGTCTTGGCCGAGATTCAAGCGCTGTGTAAACACCATTGGCGACAAACCAAGCCGGGGAGGGGAGGTGAGAAGAGAATTATATGACAGAATCCCGACATATTAGAAAGATATGAATTCCTGTTCCGATACCGCATTGCTCACCGAGGGAGTTTAGTGTCTACATTTTTACCTTTCATTTGCAGACTACACCTGTCAGGTATCCTTGCATGCATGGTCTTGGAGACCAATGGGAGACTTCGCTGGGATCGACATGTTTGCGCAGGCAGGCTGCATAAGCAGGCTGCAGAGTGCCCGTATCGAGGCTTGCCTGCAGGTAGTAACGCGACCAGGTTTGTTTTGCGATATGTGACATGAACCACTGATGGGCTTGTACAGGATACTTAGCTATTGTCTCGCCGCTGGTTGTCGTGATCTAGGGCAGGTCAGGTGTCAATGCTGTCAAGAGCGGTTTTGAGTGGTTTTCATTGCATAGAACTTGGAATTGGTGGCTGCTAGGCTTTTTATCTTGTTATCAACGCTGAGGAGCCCGCCCGACAAGACTCGGCCGAAGGGATGCATAGGGGGGGGGGGGGGGGGGCAATTTATGGCCGCCGTCTCATAGGCCCGCGTCGGTTTTCGAGTACTTCCACGTTGTAACATAGCATTCGACAGCACTGGCAACAGGAGGGAGATTGCTTTGCTCATGCAGTGTCAGCAAAGCAAGACTAGGTGTCGTGTCAAGATCTCATTGAGAGCTGAGCCCTTGACGAGGAAGGCAGCTGGATAGTGGTCATCAAGTAGTATCACTTATTTGTCCTGCACTTTCGCGCGAATTACAAGGACATCGGCAATGCTGCTGCGTCTGCTGTAGGACGGATGCGGGCGGATCCCGCCCACAGGATAGGCGCATCGACTCGGCCGGGAAGGGAAGCCGCAGGCGCTGCGTGCCACGTCGAATTTGGCCGAGTTCTCGCCCGGGGAAGCGAGGAAAGATTCCGGGGTTTCCGAATGTTCGGACCATCTGCCTCGGCGTCTTGAAGCCAGCTTAAGCGCCCAAGAAACTGAACACGGTGGCATGGATTGCTCAGACTGAGGGTCACCGGGGAACATCCGCCTTGCCTCCGTGGCTTGATCTCGGAAAGGCTCGTCGAGTTTCACTCGTCGCCTTGCATTCGTTACTCGCCCTATAGAGGCAATAGTGTATTGAACAGAGCCATACGTCGTGTGCATTGAGCTTGTTCCCTCCAAGATTTCATCGTGGGCGGCTTGCCGTTTGACTTGATGCCTCGCATAAGCTAGCGCAGTACGCCGCTGGGGCTAGAGACGAGGGATCATGGCGCACATCGCATGCATTTGATACAGGTTGAGACAGCCAGGAGGGGTTGTCGCAACCCTCGCAGCCCGGATGCTATTCGATGTGTCGGGCAGAGTACGTGGACAGCAAGACAGCCTTCTGTTGGGGCTGATTGCAGGACCGAATTGACGCGGTAAAGATGGTCTCACAGCCAGTGGCCGAAAATTTCACACCGACAACTCCGTCTCATATGAGAGAATGAGCCGACCAATACGGAGAATATTCGCATAATTAGTGTTCAATTCCGCTCATCCTTGATAGACTCTGGCGGTTTGGCATCAAGCAAACGTCATGAGACCTGTAACCGGTTCCCCGGACAGTGGCTGGGATGGTTAGTGGGGGGGGGGGGAGGAGGAGGAGGAGGAAGAGGAGGGGGCACTCCGGCGCTACCGTCCGTGGGATGAGTGGTATAGTGGTTATTATGCGGTGGAATGGATGTGCACAATATGGTGTAATCGCGAATTCAATCGATGCCAAAAAGCCAAGCCGATGCATGGTCCAACAGGCAGGTAGGTAAATCACCTAGGTAGAACGAACGGGCGTACCCCACTGAGTACCTAGTAAGTCAGCTGCCGTATCTCCAGAGCGGTGAGGGGCCGCTGAATGAGTGGCACTGCAACGTTCCTACTCGTATAGGTACTAAGCGGTAGGGAGCACGACCTCAAGACTTTGGGAAAAGCAAAAACCCCTCATCCTTGTTCGCTCGCGTGTTATTCCCCTGACCGTTGGGCCGGGTTCGATGTTGGGGACCTGGCGGGGAGTGATCTGGAGCGACCTAGTGCAACCCACTTGGAGAAGGCGGTCGAAGACAGAGACGAGATGGAGATGAGAGGACCCGGAGAGTCTTGGAGAAGAAGGGGGGGGGGGAGATCTAAGAACCTAAGAACAGCGAGGGCTGGAGCAATTTCAGCAAGCAAACTTGTGACTGAATTATTTGCAGCGAGGCCAGAACCAGGGCCTAGCGGAGTCTTGGGGAAGGCCCTGTCGACTGTGGGAAAGAGTGGACGGATGAGGGGGAGCGAATTGTCTCTGCACGACTCCGTAGACTCTGCTCCCCTAGGACCCGACGCATTCCGAATGGCTGGAATCAAGTCGGTGTGATGATGTACGTACAGCAAAACCACATTTTCCTCGGAACCTGAGCCGTGCCGAAGGGCAGGGCAGGGCAGGGCAAAACAAAAGACCGGAAGATGCCAGAGTCAGAGCACCTGCACGGTGCATCTCACCTCAAGGTTGATGAGAGTCCAGGGTGACTGACTGGCACTCGCTGTGTCAACCCTAGTGTACTGGGCCCAGAAGCGTGGGGTGTGCCGCCTTACACCGTGAATTGAGTGGAGGGTGCAGTTTGTCCTCGGCTCGGAAGACACTCTCAGGTTGCATCACCCACAGTTTGTTTGCACGGGCTCGTAGGTATGTAGTCAGGTCGGTGGCTTTCTTGGGGAGGCTTCGGTTCCGTTTGGTTCGTTGGGTTTGGTAGTAAGCTGTTGTTTGAGAAGGCAGCTTGGAAAGTGTACCGAACTCCTCGAGATGCCCGTGCCTGCCAGCTCCCTGCCCTAGTGGCTCTGTAAATGGGGGCTTGGATCACGGGATTAGAATGTAGGTAGTTTACAATAGAGCGAGGAAGTGCGAGAACTGCAATGCTTGGCTGCACGCGCATCGCCGACCCGTATGCGCGTCTTCCCTATGATGTAATAACAATAGCTTCTCGGTGCTTGCCCGAAAGCACTCATGCGCATTTTCCCTTAGCTGGACGAGAGGGACGGACGACATACTATGTAGGTACACTAGGTCTGCTGACCCGGGCTGGCTCTGCACACAAGAACACAGGTACCTAGGTAACCGCGGCTGAAGTTCGGGAAAGAGCTGGGCGTGTTATGTCGAGGTCCCGATGCATCTGCCGCTGTCTCGTCTCGCCCGGCTGCTTGCTGGACTTATTGAGCTAACTCGGGCTGCTGCATTGTGTGTCTCTTCTCTCTGCGGTCCTGGCCAATGTGTTGTTTCCAGGGTTTGCTGCCCGTCATCGGACAGAATTTCCCACCCCCCACCGAGATGGTTGGAAAATGAAATTGTCGAGGATCGAGTTTTTTTTTCTTGCTTGTCGAGTGACCTCGCTCCTTTTCCCAGGCCCCTGTCTTGTTCAGGTAATTATTTCCTAGTGTCGGTCCGTTCTAGAAAAGGGCGTCCCCCCACGCTGCCCACTTTCTCTCCCTATGCACGAAGTACAGTACTCTCCACATCCCATCCGCGACACATCCCCGAACTGCCCTTCCTCTTGGCTCCACGTCCCCCCGCCTTTGTTTTCTTGTTTTTTTTTTGTTTTTTTTTTCATTACCTTTCTCCGTCCTCAGCACCGTCATGTCCTTTGCCAGCGACTAACTGGATTCTCCCAAGTTCCTGACCGAAACCCCGTTCGCCATCCTTCCCGATCCCGCGATGCAAGGTTCTGCGCTTGCCGGCGTTGCTTTTTGCTTCTTCTTTTCTTTCCGGCTACAGCAGCAACACCTCCTCTCCCACAGTTTTTCACCCTGCTATTGTGCTGCAACCACGATATAGTGTAAAGGGCATCAACGCAGGTCTTGCAGCCTCATGTCGATGGCAGGAGTGACCTGACTGCCTTAATGGTCACCAACGTTGTCGGTTCGACAGAAACGAGGGACCTCAATAATTGACAATGCCCCATCTATCGCCACATACCACGCTCTAAGTATGTAGGTAATAGCCAGTTCGCGACGGGGTATACCTGACGTTGGCACTCTTCGTAGTTTTGCCGGGGATAGAAGGTTACCAATAGCCGCTATTCGTATGCTTTCACCCCACTCATCCCACCCAGCAATGACCTTGACCTCCACAGAAAAGGCAACTTACTTGACTCTTCCATTCGTCCCACGTTTCTTCCAGATGGCCACCCCTTCGCATTTGGATCCCGTGGAGAGAAAGTACAGTACATACCTGGGATACAGCAGTCAAGAGGGTAGAGTGCAGGGACGTAATTGTTTCTGGAGACACACCCGCGGCTATTGGACAAGACACCCCACCCCCAGTCATCAGTGGGGTACGGATTTCTCCCCGTCAGCCTCATAATTCATTTTCATTGGCCTCTCTGATTGCAAGGGGACGTCGCCATTTGGGAAAGTCGGGGCAGCGACACGCCCCCTGTTCCCGGTTCCCTACCCTACCTACCTAGCCTGAGAGAAGTCGCTGAACCCGAGTCCAGGTACTGGAACCTGCTGAGCGCTGCCAGTGCGTTTTAGTTGCCGTCAGGCACCCCCCCTGGGTTCCTCGTTGGGTTCTTCCTTTTTTTCCTCATCCGTCCCCCAGAAGCAGCCCCGTCCTTGGTCACTTATAAAGTATAAGACAATGCCCTGCGCATTGCTCCGTCACTTGACCTTGGGCCTTGCACTTGAATCGTCTTCCCGCTGGTAGTAGAAAATATTGGATCCTTTACTTCCCTCATCTCGAATCTGCCCTGTATTCGCATATACCTACCTATATCAGCCGCTCTACTGTTTTGTTAGCATCCTGCCTACTGTCCGCCTCAACTCCCTGTTCTCCGGATGATGCAATAGCGTCATTGGCCGCTCCGCTCTAATACTATACAAGACAACCACATTTGTGTTTACCAACCCGCACGAAATCATGCTCTCCTACGACTCTCCCATGCCTGCCAATGGGCAGCCTCCAAAGTCTCCCTCGGGGCTCACGAACGGCGTCCAGCAGGCCGTCGCTTCCAAGACCCAGCCGAAAGTGCCCGGAGTTCCGACTTCCGCCGACAACGGCGCGCACGTCAATGGATCCCTTAACACCCAGTACCACCATATCTGGCTAGTGACGGGCCCGGCTGGCTGTGGAAAGACGACCGTCGCCGAGTACCTCGCCCAGGCTCTGAAGCTTCCCTACATCGAGGGCGACAGTGTAAGTGTCGCAACCCGCCTTGTCGTATTCTGACATTTGTCTAACTCGCGCGTGAAAAGTTCCACCCACAAGCAAACATTGAGAAGATGGCCAACGGTGTGCCTCTGACCGACGCCGACCGATGGGACTGGCTCGTTGCGCTTCGCGAAGAGTCCCGCCACCAGCTGGCCGCAGGCTCCGACGGGGTTGTGCTCACCTGCTCGGCCCTGAAGCGCAAGTACCGGGACGTCATCCGTGTCGCCGGATACTACGATCGCTCCATCCTCATTCACTTCATCTATCTGTCGGCCCCCGAAAACGTTCTCGTACAACGCGTGACAGCCCGCAGTGCCGCGACCAACCACTATATGGGCGCCAACATGGTCCACAGCCAGTTCCAAACCCTGGAGCCTCCCATGGCCGACGAGACAGACGTCATCAGTCTCGACGTCAGCCGCTCTCTCGAGGAAGTCAAGCGGGATGCCCTAGCCAGCGTCAAGGCCGTAGTTGGGGAAGACGCATAGGCCACTAGCTGTCTCAAGAGGCGTACTTTGGTTGGGGTGTTCTTCCTTTTTTGCGAATCATCCTACGGGATCATGGAGTTACGGGCATAGAACTACAAGCGTTGGCTTTTGGATATCACAACGGCGTCAGCATTGGGATTAGGGTTACAAAACCGCTGGCTTGAAGAGGTCGGGTTGCATACAGTATACGGGTGCTAAGGTGGCAGCGGAGGGACTTGCGCCGCGTAAAAGGCATCCTCTGCCCAGCCAAGTCAAGCTGGTGGGGGGGGCTAAGTCGTGTATTGGCGGTTGAGCATAATGTCAGGATGCGAGCTGACCGAAATGGGGTTGGCCGTCAATGCGAAAGCAGCGATGCTGAGCTGGCGCTTGTTGCCTCACTCATGCAGGGTCAAAGAACCGGAGAGTTCTCACTGGTTGGGGCCCAGCTGGATGTTCTTGGTTCATCACTTGCAAGTCTTGGTTGAGAATACGTATAACTGACGAAATATCAAACCGTCACTTATACCACCTACCCACCGTTGTACCTTGTGAGCCCACCTGCATGCACAATCTGGACATTTAGCAGCTCTACGGATAGACGAGGTCCAGTTCGGTCTCCCCAACACCGTGGTCAAGCTTCCCCAATCGAGATGCCTGCAGCCGATGGAGCGCGGATGGTCGGTCACCCTTGGCCGTTGGGGGATTCTTTAGCATTGGCTGGCGTCAGCTCGGTAAAGGTGTGGAGAGCGTTCGTCCGTCGTAACTGGGCCGTCACAATTTCGTATTTTACTACAGAGTACACCGAGATGGGGGAGAGGGGATGAGAAGGGGATGTGGAATGTCTGTCATGTGTGGAGGCAGGTGTTCGTTGACCTTGCCCTGTGGGGCAACCATCCCGGCCAAGACATCACGCCGTTGCGAAACGCTGCAGTAACATGCCTGTCAGACCGACATGCGTCGGGCAGCAGCTCTCCTCTTGCAGGTGATCTCTAGGTACTCTGGATCTCTCTTTGTTTTGTTTTCCCAGATTGTAACTTCCACAGGTGCCTAAACGACGTACTTGTCTACCACCGACCCCAAACCCCGGCCCTTCCTCCCGTATCTACACAATCAATGAGACTCTGATTGTAAATGTCGTCGAGCCATTCATCCCGTCCGTCCGCCCACACACGCCATGGGCGTTGTTCACCCAGTCTTAGTGTCCGCATCACGCGGGCCGGATGCTCTCGTTCGATCTTCGTCGTCACCCTCCTCCCCTCAGATCTGACCACTCTTCCCATATCCCTCCTGGGTACCTCTCTCCAGCCCCTCACTCATACACTCCCATTCAGGGTGGACACATCATCGGAGGTGCATGACCATGACATCGGGCTCCTCCACGACCCTGCGCACCACCTCAGCGGCCCGCGCCATGGTTGCACCGTCCACAACGCGATGGTCCGCGCTCCAGCTGAAGTTGCACATGTGCTTCCTCACCACCCTGTCCGAGTCCTCCCTCTCGAACGCCGGCACGGCGCGCATGCGGCCGATGCCGAGGATCGCCACCTCCTTGTCGACGATGACAGGCGACAGGTAGGTCCCGCCGATGTTGCCGATGTTGGATACGGTGATGGTGCCTCCGCCGAGGTCCACCGGCGTCAGCTTGCCCGCAAAGGCCGCCTTTTGCAGCCGCGTCAGCTCCGATGCGATGGAGAGGATGTTGAGCGACCCGACGTTGCGGATCACGGGCACTAGGAGGCCCTGCGGGGTGTCCATGGCGACGCCGATATTATGCTGGCTGCGCATGACGAGGGAGGGTTTGGAGGACGAATGGTCGAGATCGACCCGCGCGTTGAGGATGGGGAACTGATAGAGCGCCATGGAGACGGCCTTGATAATGAAGGGGAGGTAAGAAAGCTTCGCGACGCCGGTCTCGCCGCCACCCACCTCTGGAGCCTTTGCGAGCACGCGGTTGAGGCGGGTGCGCAGCTGAACGAGGCTGGAGAAGTCGATTTCGTCGGCGTACAAGAAGTGCGGTATCGTGAGGGAGCGCGTCATGGACTTGAACATTTGCTGCTGGGTGTTTGTGAGCGGGACGCGGGTCTCGAGCTGCGCGCCCCCGACGGGCCCCGGGGTGGGAAATGCGCCGGGGGGCGGGGCTGAAGTTGCCGCCGGCTTGTCCCCGGACTCGCGACGCTTGACGAAGTTCTGTACGTCCTCCTTCAGGACTCTGCCATCTCTCCCCGTGCCGTCGATGTCCGTAATATTCACATTCAAGGTCTTGGTGAGGTGCCGCACCGCGGGCGTGGCAAGTGAGGCATGCGTGCCCTTTGGCTGCCGCGGAGCTTCCTGTACATCGGCGCCCTGAGGCGCGGTGACTGCCGGCTCTTGTCTTGTTTGCCCATGTATCTGCTCTCCCTGATGCGTTCTCGCCAGCTGTTGTTGCGGCGAAGTAGGCTCCGTCGTGCTCTGCGTGGGCTTTTCCACTGCTGGCTCAGTCGGGGCCGTCAGTGCGTCGAGGTCCTCCTGCTTGGCCCCGCCCTGGATGTCAATGTCGACAAAAGGCTTGCCGACCTTTGCCATGTCGCCGGCGTCGTAGTGTAGTTTCTTCACGACGCCGGAGAAGCGGCTTGTGATCTCCACTGAGGCCTTGTCGCTCTGTACCTCGCACAGCGGGGAGAACTCTTCGACACGGGCGCCCGGCTCGACAAACCACTGGATGATCTCACACTCCACGATGCCTGCCGTTTGGGACTTGTTAGAGATTCAGTTCACTCTGAAAGCCTAGAAAAAGCTGATTATTATTTTTTACTTACCTTCACCAATGTCTGCCAGCAAGACGGGCTTGATAACCCTCAATTGCCGCGTGTCGTGGAACTGTCTAGAGGGGTAGACGCCAGCAGCTCTTGCCGCGGCCAGACGGGCCATGCTTTTAGAGACGTGCCATTGCGTCCGTACGGCGCGTGAGCCGCGTTGAAGAAACATTGTGAGGCCTTTTTCGATAAGCAAAGAAGAGGAATAAAGGTAAGGAATAATTCGCAATTTCTAGACTTTCAGAGGAGGAAAGGCGAAAGCTACTCAGGAATGTGCGAACACCCGTTGCAGGAGCACGCTCGGCAGCGGCATTGTTTCTTCCCCAGAGACTCGGCTATTCGCGGTGTTCGGCCAGTGAAGGTCAATCGATCTTCCCCAATGACACAATGCTGAAATGCGCCGAGGGGCAGCAAAAGGGTGGCCCGAGACCCGCAATGTCGGTTCAGTCTGCTTCTTAGCCCCTCTCTCGTCGGCTCTCTCCGCATTGCAGCGGCGATCCATTTTCTTATCGCCCGGTAGCCCCTGTGGCTTGGAGATGAGGCGCAGGGTAGGACATCGACACATGTGGCGCGAATTTTTCCACTGCCCAGACGCCAGAGGGAATGACCAGACATCTCAACGACATTTGGCATTCGCATTGACTCTCCGGCCTTGAATGCAATGGCTTCAATCACCCCAATGCGTGCAATGGCCCTGTCTATGGGACTCTCAAGAAGGGCCTTCTCGTGCACTGTCTGCTCATGCCGGCGCCACCTGAGCACCTCTCGTCCATACCTCGCTGGCAAGCCTCCGGCACCGGCACCGGCCCCGGGCGCCGCTCCTCTAGAAACGGCGAAGCCCGATCTCCCGGGGTCGGCCATCCACGCCCCGCGTGCTTACGGACGGAAGGTCAAGGACTTCACGCCGCAGCCTCTGCCACGGCCCATCGGCATGGCGCACCCACCGCACCCGGAAGACAACTCAGGCGTCGACAGGAGGTCGCTGAAACAGCGGAGGGACGACTTTGTCGACTACGACAAACACCTCGTGCGCCGTAAGGAGCTGTAAGTCGCACGCTACGGTGCCACATCGAGACTTGAGCTGACTGTTGGTCGTTCGCAGGAAAGAAAAGATGGCCCGCCCCTACTTTCGCGACTGGCGCAACATGCAGTTTCACGAGGGCAAGTCCTTCATCGCGCCCCCCTTGCCCTTCAAGGCCGACATGTCGCTCTTCTTCCCCAACTTTGTCGGCGACACGCTCGAGAAGAACGCCAACAGCCCGCGCGACACGACGCGCGCGCTGCTCGGAAAGTTGTCCGTCGTCGCCGTGTACAGCAGCCAGTGGGCCGACAACCAGGCAAAGACCTTCATTTCGCCCGAGGCGAACCCGGCGCTGCACGAGCTCCTAGCTAAGTCTCCGGGCAAGACGCAGATTGTGCAGCTCAACATTGAGGACAACAAGTTCAAGGCGTGGATTGTCAGGCTCTTCATGGGTAATCTCCGCAAGCAGATCCCCGAGCACCACTGGGGCAAGTACTTCCTCGTGCCCCGCGGCATCACCGACGAGATCAGCGAGTCCATCGGCTACCTCAACAGCAAGGTCGGCTACGTTTACCTCGTCGACAACCTATGCAGGATACGCTGGGCTGCCAGCGGTCCCGCCCGCCCGGACGAGCGGGACAGCTTGGTGAAGGGCATGAAACTGGTTCTTCACGAGTGGAACAAGGTCGAAAAGGCGGCGCTAGAGGCCGCCAAGGTCGAAGAGGCGGCGGGCGAGAAGAAGGAGAAGTCGTAAGCCGGGGGAGGGGGACAGCTTTTTAGGGTGGCTTTGTAAAGCCGATAGCGTGCGACAGCCAGGTCATGAATGACCTGGCCCTATTGCCTACATACCCGTGTTTTTCTAGTGTACAGTATGCACCAAAGATACCCTCAATTCGAGAAAAAAAACGTCCATAAAAATTCCCAAGAACGCCTCCGCAGTTCCCTTATGCCGATATTATCCCCAGTCGTAACGGCTTGTTGAAAAGAAACACGATGAAAACACAAAAGGCCGTCGTCGTCTTAAGTAAAACATGCCGCATTCCTCTGCCGCTGATCATATAAACCACCAAAACAGGAGGAAGCAAAATGCAATGAAGACGCCCATGATGATGCCGTCACGACGCTTCTTGGCCGAGATGCGGCCGATGAGGCTGTTGAGCCCGGGAACCTGGCTGGCGGCCATGGTGATGCGGCGGTTGATGCTAGCGAGGGTCTCACGCTGGATGTTGAAGCTGTCTTGAACGGCGTAGGCCTGGGCGAGGACGCTGTCGGTCATGTTATGGCTGTTATCGATGCGACTACGCTCGGCAAGCATGTACTCAGCCTCGGCAGCCTCGGGATTGTTGGCGCGATATTCGTCAATGTCGGAGCGAACGTTGGTGAGCAGATGGGCGCGGTCGCGGGCCTGGGCAATGGTGTTGCGCAAGCGGACAAGGTCGCGCTTGTGCTCGGCGAGCTTCTCACGGGAGAGAGCAAGGTTACTATGCTTCGTAGCAGAGGAGGTAAGGGTCGCTTCCGAGTCGAGAAGGCGGTAAAGTTGGGAGATGACGTTTTCACGCTGGAGACTATGTTAGTGGCGGCTGAGGTCCTGAGGGAGAATTCATCGAACGTACCTTTTCAAGGAGTTCTTGTAACTTCGCTTCTGTTGTCCTTTCCTCCTCGGTGGGCCTTGCTGGTATATCTGCTACAGTCGAGAACTGGGAGTACGTGTGGAATAGAGTCTCGGTCTATAGAGGGCGGATGTCAGGGAAGCCCGGTGGAAAAAGACACCATGAAGGTGAAGGAACCCGTACCTGTGTTTCTAGGCTCCGCGCTTGTTGCCGTAGCTGGGCCCAGCCCGTGTTGACAGGAACTGCAGCCATGGTGCTGCGATGATTGTTGTGGCTAGTTGTCTGTTCTGTCTGCTGCTCTCGACGTCGTTGATTCCGATGGGCTCGTCTATGTCCGCATGCCTGGGACTGTCAGCAGGGACCAGATGCAGCCTAGAGGAGCTCAGCGTCACATGGACCGTGCACCTTGAATGATTATGTAATGGCCATTGGGCTGCACCAAGCCTGCAGGTGCGGGTCAAGTTGCATTGTAGGTATTCAATAACCTAGCGATGGCAACACGATTGGGGACACAGCGAAGACTCAAGGAAAGAGATTCTTCGGACATCAGTCTCATAATCCAACATCCCGATATTTAGGAAAGCACAGAGACTATTAGACAAAAATCAACACGCACTGAATATCGCCTGGGAAACCGTTCACCTGTCCGAACTTGGAGCTTTGAAGGACTCCATCCCAGCATACGGGCAGTTTAGAGACCCCTCATGCTTGCTCAGCATTCATGTACCATGCTACCTAGGTAGATACCTAGGTGAGCATATCGAACTCGGTGTAATCGGCTCGGTGGAGAGCAGCCATTGACAGCGCCTTTCGGTGCCCTCGGTGACAGATGTGGCTAAGCAATGCCGTGGCGCATGCCTAAACCCCAAGGCCCACCTCCTCCAATCACAGACGGCCCAGTTTTTAATTTGCACGCACAAACTTGTAGGGTTTTTGTCAAAACTTCATATTTCGATCGATCACCTTAGCCTCTCTCACGACGTGTCGATACTAACCCAGATATCCAGCGCCACCCCCCATATCAGTCAAGATGGTGAGTGACCCTTTGCTCCTGATGCGATCCGCGATCCTCGAATAGTCCCGAACATTTCCCCCGCGACGAGATTACGACACCCCGCGTTCGAAACTTTCATATCTGCTCCGACGAGAAACACAAATGCACTCATCTACAAGGACAAGAACCGTTCCCGCTGACGAGAAGTTATCATGTCGCAGTCGTCCGGAAAGGTCAAGGCCAGCCAGCTCTGGAACAAGAACAAGGATGAGTTGACCAAGCAACTCGGAGAGCTCAAGACTGAGCTCGGTCAGCTCCGTATCCAGAAGATCACCTCTTCTGGCAGCAAGCTGAACAAGATGTGCGTTACTATCCCCGTCCGATCCGAAAGCGATGGGAGGAATCCGAAGGATGGATGAGGAACGAGCGACTGACCGATATTTTTTCTGCCTGCAGCCACGACATCCGCAAGTCGATCGCCCGCGTCCTGACCGTTATCAACGCCAAGCAACGCGCCCAGCTTCGCCTGTTCTACAAGAACAAGAAGTACGCCCCCCTTGACCTCCGCGCGAAGCAAACCCGTGCCATCCGCCGGAGATTGTCCGAGAAGGAGGCCAGCATCGTCACCGAGAAGGCCAAGAAGCGCACCGTTCACTTCCCTCAGCGCAAGTTCGCCGTGAAGGTCAGTTGAAATGGGACATTATGTCGGGAATTGATTCAGGGAGACGCGAGAAACAGTGAATAGGGTTGAGACACATCATTCGGACTTACCAGTACAATATCTGTGCTCGATATGTGTCTCTAGTCTCCTGGATCCTTCTTGACAACATCCAACACTGCCTAGGGAACTTCATCACTGACTTACGATGCAGGCCGCGTAAATTAGCCGACCGCTCCTGGGTTAGGTTTGGGGATAACGAAAAAGGTCATGGAGGCGTAACACGTTTTTGGCACACGGGGATCCCGAATTACTCGATGCATTGCATGGTCACGGAGGGAAATTAAAAGGGTTTATATGCGCTTTGTCAATTCCCCCCCAAGTGCTGCAAAAAACACAAATGGATTTCTCTCAAGACGGGTCAAACACATTGGCAAAGCGAAAAAGTATGGATGGGGCTTGCAGAAATCCTATTCTTTCTGTCTCTCCCACCCATACAGCCCCCTTTTTTCATGTTGTGGTGGGAGGGAGAGATTTCCCCGAGTGTGTGTTGGTAGTATAGAGCTGCCAAAAATGTCAAATGGGGCCTAAAGATGCCCCGACTTCAAAAAGTCTGCTCATGTTCGATTGTGCTCGCTTGAAATGCACCCAGGCCCAATACTCTGCACTCTTTGGTTCAACTCTCACCCAGCCCCCGAGTTATACAGGCGACCTTGACAGGTCGGGTTGGTTTCTACGTTCCTCTACTATTTCAACGAGACGAAGCTTGTCGTAGTCTAAGTCTCCAGTCTGCTTATTCACTTACGATCTATTATCCCGGCTTACTGGTATTAAATACCTGGGGTTTGCCCGCTCGACTTGTCCTTTGGATGTTCTCACTGATCTGATGATAAATCTTTCTTTATGTTTGCGCGGTTTGTCAACAGTGACCAAACCGATGACCATCAGTCATCCTACATGGCATAAATACGATAAATTTGTCATGTTTGGCCGCTTCGAAATTTGTGAGAGCTGTGAGAGCGGTTTCCGATAATTTTGCAGAAGATGCTGGTATCACCAATCTCATATGCACCTTATTGGTTCAGCCTCCCTCGCTCACCGTGCATGCAACAGATATGCTAAATGGGACTATGGAGGGAGCACAATTAAATAGAGGATGACTAGGACTTGTGAAATATATTTTGGGTGGTGTAATGTTCACACGTATTTTGATTGATAAAGCCAAAAAATATCAATTTCGTTCTGTTACGCCTTCCGTTACCTGCGGTCTCATAGCTGGAAATGGTTATTGAAGAGTTAATTTTCCTACTGAATTTAGACCCCAGACGAGAAACATCACATGTGATTTGGCACTGGTATATTCAATAACTCTGAAGACTAAGAAGTATACAAAGCGACCATACAGGCAGGCAGGCTTCTGTTCATGTTGGGAGCCGAACCACTTATGCTTCTATTCACGGCATGGGGTCTTCCTCTTAGAAATCCAAGGTTCTAACCTGCCCTCTGTTGTCAGTGTCCCTTTACATCTATAAAAGACAAAACCGCTTTATCGCAATGATTTGATCTCCATTAAGCTCGAGGATTGGTTTATGATCGCCCATGGTTTTGTGGTGGGCACTCTCTTCCAGCATTTCCGCCACAGACCAATGGACAGACCGTCTTCTCGCGTTTGGCACGCACCACCTCCGTTTTTTTCACACAACTCATTGCCTCTCAGTCCCCTTGAAGCATTGAGATCACCGCCCATGTATGTCGAGAACAACCTATAAAGCTAGGGCTATTACCGTCTCTTCCCTCTTCGCTCGGGCACTTTCAGACACGGACAGGACAGTTGTTATATGAGTTGCTGCGGACTAATGAAAACAAAAGAAAGCTTGAATTCAAAGTCCCCTTTTTAGTGTGTCCAAGGAGTTCAAACTCCATCCATGCTCATAAAGTACACACTACCTAGTATACAGCCAATATCGCGCCGCCCAAGATTACGACTCCAAACCTAGACACCGCCAGCTTCTTAGAAAGCCATCTGCTTCTTGATCTCGGCAATAGCCTTGCCAGGGTTCAGGCCCTTGGGGCAGGCACGTGTGCAGTTGAGAATCGTGTGGCAGCGGTACAAGCTCATCGAGTTGTCAAGGGCGGCCTTGCGCTCCGCTGCTTTCTCGTCACGGGAATCGGCGAGCCAGCGGTATGACTGGAGAAGGATGGCAGGTCCGAGGTACTCCTCCGAGTTCCACCAGTAAGACGGACACGAAGTTGAGCAGCAGGCGCACAGGATACACTCGTAAAGGCCGCTCAGCTTCTTTCTATCGGCGACACTCTGACGGTATTCCTTGCCCTGCAGTCAACGTTAGTCCAAAGTGTCATAATAGAAGGGTGTACTCTACCACGTACATCAGGGGCAGGAGTGGTTCTCTGCAAGTAGGGCTTAATCGAACGGTATTGCTTGTAAAACTGGGTCAAGTCGGGGACCAGGTCCTTGACGACGTAGGTATGGGGCAGAGGGTAAACCTTAATGTCTGACGAAGACTCCTTGGGGATACGGCCTATCAAATGGCATTAATATTATCTTCTTCATCGCTATGTTGACCTCATTCGTAGCAGGGGGAGGGGGTTGGTTGCTGTGCTTCTAGAAACCACATACAAAGGCAAGCCAGCGTGTTCTGCCCATTAATGTTCATGGCACAGCTACCGCAGATGCCTTCTCTGCAGCTTCGGCGGAAGGTCAGAGTAGGGTCCAACTCGTTCTTGATGCGGATCAACGCATCTAGCATCATGGGTCCGGTCTTGTTCAAGTCCAGCGTGTACTCCTGCATGCGAGGCTTCTCAGTCGGGGTGTCGGGGTTCCAGCGGTAGATGGTGAACTTCTTCATCTCTGGCTCCTTGGTACGGGGCAAGCGGTCGCTGGGGGTTGCTAGGCCACGGCGAGGAACGGTGACGGCAGGGCGGAAGGCGGCTTTGGTGGCCGAGCCCAAGACTCGGGAGGAAGAGCGGAGAGATGCCATTGTGGCTGTTGAATTGGATACGAGTTGGAACAAACGGATGCAAGTAGCAAAGGTAACAGTTGGCACACCAGATGGAAGTGAGAAATTCCAAGTAATTGGCGGGTCGCGGTGTGGGAAGCGGCGGTTCACCGTGATATTGTTATCCTTGGTGGCGTTCAGGTGAAATGATAGACATCATGGAAGTTTGTCAATCCCTCGGTTATTGAGTGGAAGCGGCCGGAGCAATAAAAGCGGGTCTATGACCAATCATGCACGAGTGATTTTTAACCAATCTCAGAAGTGCGGCTATTTGGCCTGTGCGGTTTTCATGGCTTCAAGAAGTGAAGAATCCAGTGTCAGATACACGCAAAGCCACCATTCAAATCGACACATCCCGCCTGACCCCAACGTGACCACCACTTTGAGTGAGACAGAACCTCAAGACGCAAAGGGTCACCACGAAGAGAGTTGGCGAGATAGAAAAAGGAAAAGAAAAAGAAGTGGACTGAGTGGGCTTCCCAGCTTGCAGAGGCTCAACTTTATTCAATCTTGTGTCAAACTACCTTTTTCTTGTAGCATCGCCAATAGGGGCTCGATTGCCTGTCATGTGAAAGAAAGGGTTAAGCCGACGGAAGTCGTGCCCCATTTGACGATCAGCCGACCGTGTTTGTCTCGCTCATATCTCTCACGGAACAACCCGCCGCTTCTATATAAAGTTTGGTTGTCTTGATGAGAATGTGGAAAAACGGGGAGCTCATACCGCATTGCTTCCCAGTACCTCTGTCACTAATAGAGTTGATGTCCGAAAGTCCAAATGGTCATCATATTTATCGATACCACAGGCTCTATTTTCCAAAGAGGCTCACTCCAGGCAAACAATGTCTTCCTACGTTACCCACGATGCTCGAAGTTTTCCTCAGAACATAGTTTAATTCCTGTTGCTTATTCCTCCATACTCCCCTACTTCAAGTCCAGGTACTGGTTACGACTGGGGAAGCAAGCACCTTTTCATCTGGTCTTTCTACCTATCCCAGTAGCCCATCTCGGAATTTGACGGGACTTTGCATGTGAACTTGGGTACGAATACAAGTACCCTATACTGAGTTTGCAGATGAGAGTCGGAGTTTAGTCTCAACCATAAATGCCAAGGGCACTTTTCAAGATAGTGAGGTACTAAATAAAGTAGGAACCTGACGCTGGCTGGCTGGTCTACCTGTAATGCCTATCCTCTAACCATCTCACATGCCCCGGAACCAGCTGTGGCTTGCTTGGAGCTGTGGCGCGCAGCCACCAGCCACACCTCATTCAACCAATCATTAACAGTGTGATTACCCGAGGTGCCGAGCTGGCTTATTGCTGAAGACGTGCGAGGTTTGCCGTATTCCATCCCGTACTTCTCCCCATACACCGGTTGTAGGCCTACCCATCACTTAGAGTTTTGGAGACCAATTCAAATCGACGGCAAGTGTTCGAAAGTGCATGCAAATTTGGAGTCCTTTTACTAACTCCCAGTTTCAGGCCTGATTTCTCTCTTCCGATAACGGTCAGTAAATGATCCGAACACCCGGCCCCAAACGAACCTCGCCCATTCCAACATCCTCGGCCGCCACCCTCTTCCCCTCCGTTTCTCGCGACGCAAACATTCACACATTCACAAAGAGAGCGCCTACTGATACTTCAGAACAGTGTACGCATCCACCATGGCCTCATCAATGGCGTTGAGGAGATTTGCTTCCAAGCCTTCTGTATGTTACTTCTCTGATCCGGTTCACCCTTCGCAACTATGCCACGGGAATTGCCTTCGAAGAGCAGAGCTAACTCAACCTCAGTTCTCGCAGGCGCGTGCATTCTCCACGACCAGACCTGCGGCGCGGGTCTTTGCGAACCGCCCTCTTCGCGCAAAGGAGGCCTCGCCCTACCTTTCCAGCAAGTACCCTGTCATTGACCACGAGTACGATGCCATCGTTGTCGGTGCTGGTGGTGCTGGTCTCCGTGCCGCCTTCGGTCTTGCCGAGGCCGGCTTTAACACAGCCTGTATTTCGAAGCTGTTCCCTACCAGAAGTCACACTGTCGCTGCTCAGGGTGGTATCAACGCCGCCCTGGGAAACATGCACGAGGACGACTGGAGATGGCACATGTACGATACTGTTAAGGGCTCGGATTGGCTCGGCGACCAAGATGCTATCCATTATATGACCCGTGAGGCGCCCGCCTCCATTGTCGAGCTCGAGAACTATGGATGCCCCTTCTCCCGAACCGAGGACGGAAAGATGTGAGTAGGAGCCTTGAGCCAGATCGAAGTGACGTACGGACGCTGATATATACCTTCTCCTATAGCTATCAGCGTGCTTTCGGTGGCCAGTCTCAGAAGTTCGGCAAGGGTGGCCAAGCGTACCGTTGCTGCGCTGCCGAGGACCGTACCGGCCACGCCCTTCTCCACACTCTCTACGGACAGTCGCTCCGCCACAACACCAACTACTTCATCGAGTTCTTCGCCCTCGACCTGATTATGCAGGATGGCGAGTGCCGCGGTGTCGTTGCCTACAACCAGGAGGACGGCACCCTGCACCGGTTCCTTGCTAACCACACTGTTCTGGCCACTGGCGGTTACGGACGTGCTTACTTCAGCTGCACATCCGCCCACACCTGCACTGGTGATGGCATGGCCATGGTTGCTCGCGCCGGTCTCCCCAACCAGGATCTTGAGTTCGTCCAGTTCCACCCTACTGGTATCTACGGCGCTGGCTGCTTGATCACCGAGGGTGCCCGTGGTGAGGGTGGTTACCTCCTGAACTCCGAGGGTGAGCGCTTCATGGAGCGTTACGCCCCCACAGCCAAGGATCTTGCCTCTCGTGACGTCGTTTCCCGATCCATGACGATGGAGATCCGCGAGGGTCGTGGTGTTGGTGAGGAGAAGGACCACATCTTCCTCCAGCTTAGCCATTTGCCCGCCGAGGTCCTCCACGAGCGTTTGCCTGGTATTTCCGAGACTGCTGGTATTTTCGCCGGTGTTGATGTTCGCACTCAGCCTATCCCTGTCCTCCCAACTGTCCACTACAACATGGGCGGTATCCCAACGAGGTACACCGGTGAGGTTATCACCGTTGACGAGTCCGGCAAAGATAAGGTCGTTCCCGGTCTGTTCGCTTGCGGTGAAGCCGCCTGTGTCTCTGTCCACGGTGCTAACCGTCTCGGTGCCAACTCCCTCCTCGACCTGGTCGTTTTCGGCCGTGCTGTTTCTCATACCATCCGCGACAATTTCACCCCCGGCACCAAGCACAAGCCTATTGCTGCTGATGCTGGTGCTGAGGCTATCGAGACTTTGGATAACGTTCGCACTCGCGAGGGCACCAGAACCACTTCTGACGTTCGCCTGGCTATGCAAAAGGCCATGCAGACCGAGGTCAGCGTTTTCAGAACACAGGAGTCTCTTGATGAGGGTGTTCGTAAGATGACCGAGATCGATGCTCAGTTCCCTGATGTCGCCATCAAGGACAAGTCCATGATCTGGAACTCTGACCTCGTCGAGACTCTTGAGCTCCGCAACCTCCTGACTTGCGCGTAAGTTTCATACTGTCTTTATTATTCAACGCTAGGGATGCTAATTGTTTGTCAGTTCTCAAACCGCCGCCTCCGCCGCTGCTCGCAAGGAGTCTCGTGGCGCCCACGCCCGTGAGGACTACCCCGACCGTGACGACGCCAACTGGATGAAGCACACCCTGTCCTTCCAGAAGAACCCACACGGCAAGGTCGACCTCGGCTACCGTGGCGTTATCGCCAACACTTTGGATGAGAACGAGTGCAAGGCCGTTCCTCCTTTCAAGCGTGTGTACTAAGTTGTTTCGATTAGAAATCGGTGTCGGGTGTTCTTAGGAAACTAGGAATGTGTGAGAAGCTAGAAGTAGACGAAGAAGATGGAGACGGGTGGGCAGTGGAAGGCATATCAAGGCATTCATAATACCACGACGAACAATTTAGTTAATGATCGTGGGTGAGCCATGTGGGTGATATCGCTACCTGCCCTTAGAAACTAGGCTTTTAGGGCTGGTGCATACACTGCAGGCTTTCGGGCTTTGGCTCTGGAGTTAAAAACGTGTAAAGTAGGAGGAGAATTTCGTTTTGCATATAAGAGGTTAAGAGGGCCTATGGCCTCGTATTGTATGTGTGTGTGTATGTGTGTGTGTATATGTGTGTGTATGTGTAGAGCTTCTGTTGGCATCGACTTTCACTTCGGCCTCAGCCAATTCACCAGCAAACAGCACCTCCGTTACACGACCTCAACAATCAATGAGTACGTGACTTTCAAACGGTTCTGCAGTAGGTGTTTAGAAGCCGTCACGACCTTGATAGTAGATTTAACTATACCATCTTCGCCGGTTGTCGCCGACGTTCCGGCGCCCAAGTCCGCGTATACATTTAGGCCATGGTTGAAGTGAAGTCAGATTCAGTAGTTGTTCCGCGTTATTGGGTATTTCATACCGTACCTATTAAGAGATCAAGATGTGACACAGGTCAGAGGTGTCGCGTAGCAGGTTTTACGTACTATGATATTACTGATACAAGGCAGTCCCTCTTCAGGTCGCACAATAGGTAGTGACCATACACAGTGAACTGCACTAGACCACTTATGGGGGTCTATATCCATCAATGGGATGGGATCTCCAACGGTTCTCCAATGCGACGTGGGGCAATACCTGGGGAATACATCATCTGCCACGCTAGGCGTATGGTATCATTCAGTACCTGCTGCGTAACTAATTTTGCTTCTTTCTATAACTTTTTTGTTGCCCCTCCCCCTCCTTGATCGGAAGCCGATTTTGCGCATTCTCTCCTCTTCCCTGTGCCCACAGGCATCATTGCGCAAAGCAAAAAAATTGCTTTCCCTCTTCCCCATTCTCCCCTCTTTGTCCCTTTCTCTCCTCGTTATTCTCTGACTCTTCAATAGTACTTCTTTCCCCCAACAAGAACTTGTCGTTGCCGAGAGCACCAAAAGCCAAAGATGTCGGGTCAGAAGATTGCCATTGTCTCCGTTTACGACAAGACGGGTCTGTTGGATCTGGCCAAGGGCCTGAACCAGCAGAATGTCCGCATCCTCGCCTCTGGCGGCACCGCCAAGATGATCCGGGAGTCTGGATTCCCCGTTGAGTAAGTTATAGCTCCTGCCAAAACTCCCAACTGGCCGGGACTGGAGCTAACTCGGCTTCTTTCAGGGATGTATCTGCCATCACCAAGGCCCCCGAGATGTTGGCCGGCCGCGTCAAGACTCTTCACCCCGCCGTCCACGCCGGAATACTCGCGAGGAACCTCGAATCCGATGAGAAGGACCTGGCCGACCAGAACATCAACAAGGTCGACTATGTCATCTGCAACCTCTACCCCTTCAAGGACACCGTTGCCAAGGTTAACGTCACTGTTCCCGAGGCTGTTGAGGAGATTGATATCGGTGGAGTTACCCTTATCAGAGCCGCCGCCAAGAACCACAGCCGTGTCACCATCCTCAGCGACCCCAACGACTACGCCGAGTTTCTTAAGGAGCTTCAGGCCGGCGAGATCACCGAAGCCAGCCGCAACCGTTACGCCCTCAAGGCTTTTGAGCACACTGCCGACTATGACGCCGCAATCTCCGACTTCTTCCGTAAGCAGTATGCCGCCGACGGAAAGCAGTACTCGGCCCTGAGATACGGCGCCAATCCCCACCAGAAGCCTGCCGCTGCCTACGTCAGCTCCGGCGAGCTGCCCTACAAGGTCCTCGGTGGCTCTCCCGGCTACATCAACCTGCTGGACGCCCTCAACAGCTGGCCTCTTGTCAAGGAGCTCAAGCAGGCTCTGGGTAAGCCAGCCGCTGCCAGCTTCAAGCACGTCTCCCCTGCCGGTGCTGCCATTGGCACCCCCTTGACCGAGGAGGAGCGCAAGGTCTACTTTGTCAACGACATTGAGGGCATTGAGTCCTCCCCTCTTGCCCAGGCGTACGCTCGTGCTCGCGGCGCCGACCGCATGAGCAGCTTCGGTGATGTGATTGCCCTGAGTGACACTGTTGATGTCCCCACTGCCACCATCATCTCCAAGGAGGTCTCTGACGGTGTAATTGCCCCTGGCTTCGAGCCTGCTGCCCTCGAGCTCCTCAAGAAGAAGAAGGGCGGCAAGTACCTCGTCCTGCAGATCGACCCCAACTACGTCCCGCCCAAAACCGAGACCAGGACCGTCTATGGCGTCACTCTGCAGCAGCACCGCAACGACATCGAGATCTCGCCCAAGTCATTCAACAGAATTATCACCCCCAAGGAGTCTGGACCACTGTCCGAGTCCGCCCTCCGTGATCTGACCGTCGCCACCATCGCACTGAAGTACACACAAAGTAACTCCGTCTGCTACGCCTACAACGGACAGGTCATTGGTCTTGGCGCAGGCCAGCAGTCCAGGATTCACTGCACGCGTCTCGCTGGTGACAAGACGGACAACTGGTGGCTCCGCTTCCACCCGCGCGTCCTGAGCATCAAGTGGAAGAAGGGCACCAAGCGCCCCGACAAGAGCAACGCCATTGACCTGCTGGTTAGCGGCGAGCTCCCCAAATCTGGTGCGGAGCGTGACATGTTCGAGGCCGTCTTCGAGGAGGTTCCCCCTGCCTTCACTGACGCCGAGAGGGAAGAGTGGCTTGGCAAGCTGACCAACGTCGCCGTGTCGAGTGATGCCTTTGTAAGTCAGGTTGGTACCGTTCCTCTTGCAAACCTTCTAACACGACCTAGTTCCCCTTCGTCGACAATGTGTTCCGCGCATCTCGGTCCGGTGTGAAGTACATCGCCGCTCCTGGCGGCAGCCAGAACGATGGCGCCGTATTTGAGACTGCGGAGAAGCTCGGCATTACGTTTGTTGAGCAGAACATCCGCCTCTTCCATCATTAAGCGTCTCCTTTTATTTCGGTGTTTAGGGTAAATTGATTGTGAGACCGACTTCATTATTCCCAGCTCCCCATGTTCGCCGTTCTGCGCAGGGTGCTTCAGCCGAGCCCACAGTTAAGTCTAGTTAGAGCCGCGGAAGCTTGATACTACTTTGGACATCACTAATGATGTCGTGTATCTATTGGTATCCTGGCGAAATGGGAGGGTGGGGCCAGGCAGGTCATGCAATGTGTTGGCGTTATGGCAAATCGGGAATGGGTCACATCGACCCTGAGAGATACCAAAAACGCCTCATGCAAGTTGGGGCAGGTGTTTTGACTGATGATTAGATTTCTCTTGGTATCGTACTGCAATACCGCTTCCGTCCATGGCCATTCGACGTGGCAACCGTTAACTCATTACTCGACACGTAACACTTTTCTCTCTCGCCCAAAATACCAGTCGAATGCAAAACACGCCCCTGTCTGTTGTTTCGTTCGCTGCCGACCTGAACACCGAAGCCTGATATGCTGTCGTGACCCCGTCTCTAACAAACGCCGGTCCGGATTGTGGAGCCTCCCAAGGTATCTCATAAGACGTTGACAAAAAGTGATACCTGCCAACTGTCATGCTGAAGGACCTTGCCCTCGAAGAAAAGGAACAAAAAAATAAACCCAGATTGACACTCTCCACCACGATTTAATCATTTCGTATTCTTCGTGACTCGGCCGCCCTGAGTCCTTCTGATGGTTTGGGAAGTTTCAATGTCCATTGCAGCGCCGCCATTTTCCTTGGGTCTATGAGTCTTCTCGTGCCTTCGTTTCTGGTCAAGTCTATGGAAGTCCTTGTCGCAGAAATCACACTTGAATGCGCCTTTGACATTGTGGGTTTTGCGGTGCTTGGACAGGTTGGAAGACTCGCCGAACGCCTTGCCGCAGACCTCACAGCTCAGAGGCTTCTCGCCTGTATGGGTTCGCATATGCATAGCTATACCATGGTTAGTAATTGCAAGATGCCGTATGTGAATGTCCCACTTACTCAGCGCGCTCTGTTGCTTGAAAGCAGCATCGCAGCCTGGATGTTGACATGCCCACGGCTTTTCTCCAGTGTGGATGCGCATGTGCTGAGCAAGGGACTGTTTCGCAGATAGTGCCAGGCCGCAGATTCCGCACTTGACTGGCTTGACTGGAGACCGGATTATTAGAAAACCCCGTGTTCAAGAAGGATAGCACAGCAACTTACAACCAGTGTGTGTTTGCAGATGTCGCTCTAGCTTGCTCTTCTGCGTGAATTGTCCGTCTCGAGAACAGCCCTCCCACCGACATCTAAAGCCATTGTCCGTCTTGTTCAAATGTTTGAGGTGCTGCTCGCGGCAATGGTTCTGCAGGCCCTCATCATCTTGGAAAATCAACCCACAGGTCTTTCCGCCCCCTTCATTGTGCCACTTACAAGCGAACTGTTCCAACGTGTTGGGGCTGGCCGCAGAAGGGAGGGTGTTGGGGGATGTCACTGGTGATGAAGTTGTCAGGCGCCGAGAGATAGAGGAGTTTGAAGATTCTCTGTTGGGGGGAACTTTCGTAGAGGCTTGTATGTTGCCCGGTGAGTGGGAATGAGTATGTGTGTGCTGATGTTGGGAAGCCATCAGAGGCAGCGTAGGTGGGTGTACTTCCGAGAAAAAGTTGATTGGCTCTCCTTCTGTATGCTGGTGCTGATGTTGCGTAAAGATATGCTCGATAAGATCCGCAGTGTTGTTGAATTCAGCGCCACACGCAACAAAGTTTGTCTGGTCCGAGGGCACGCAGAAATACTCCTGACCTGGATGGGTGAACACCTGGTGAGGTATGGGGCACTTCTTGTTGTCGAAAGGTAGATTTTGCTCCATCAAACAGGGACGCACACAGGCCCCAGAGGAATGCTCATTGGCAATGTGTGCCGCCCATGATGCCCAGTCGAAGTTGCCGTGCATACTTGCGTCCATATAGGTGGCAGGAAGGGAGTCCAGATCGCATTGATAAAATCCATCCATGTTCATTGATTGGGCCACCGTTGAGGGCAATCCCCCATTGTGGAAAGAACTTTGGTTGGCTGTTGCCATCAACCCGTTGTCGAAAGAAGCCTGGCCCGAAAAAAACTGTGAAGTTTGCAGGGAAGACATCGAGGAAGTAGCCATCGCATCTTGACCCAAGGAGTTCTCTCCGCCGAAAGATGCCAACACGCCGGCAGCGGCTTTGTCCTTCTCCGAGAGCGAGCGAGACAGACACTCGGCGTCTTCACAGGAAGCAGCCCGCTCGCAGTCATAGTCGTCACAGGCTGGGCCGCACTCGGCATCTCGACAGATATCGCCGGCCTCGCTGGCACCACAGTCGCTTGCACACTGATTACAGTCCAGACTGCTGCATGCCGCCGAGGTACTATCATCCTCAACGTTAGGACTGGAGTCGGTACGGATCATGGCAGCGAAGTCCACATGGGCGGTTGGCGACATGAGGGCATTCGGGCCAAAGCCCACAGGCGACTGGGTCTTGGTGTCAAAGAAGTTGGGTAAACCGGGCATTGTAGAGATGCTGTGGTGTCTTCGCTGAAGCATCGGTATCGAGTTCAGGTTGATTCGAGGGTGGTTATGGTTGGGTACCGGGTGGTGCTGATGATTGTTTTCGGGGCCTCTGCAGGCGATGTGGTCGTACTTCAAGTCCAGACAAGATTCATCATGGGAAACTGAGAGAGTCCCGCCCAGAAAGTGATCGTGTTCGTGATCTGGCATCATTGTCGAGTAAGGCATATTGAAAAGGGACTGGTTGAGATCGAAGGCCGTCGGGAAGCCATTTTGATGGTCGTCCATGGCTCAAATATGGCGAGGACTTTCAAGTTATCCATGCGCCCGAGGATTTCCCACGAGGATCACCGCTGACAGTGGCTTGGACCAGTAGGAGAAAAGTGCATGAAGAAGGGAGGCAAGGGGAGGGAGGAGACGGAAGAGCCGCCAAGGTAAGACCCGAGAAGATCTGGGGAGGGAGGTTTCCAGTGCCCGTGGCGTGGAGATCCAATAACGTTCTGACGAAACAGGGGAATATGAGAGCGAAATGGCAGTTTGGGGGGGGGGGAACGAGGCGAGTTAAGATCAGGTAAGACACCCGGTGACAAGGTTTGTGGTGATAAGAAACCAAAGGACCGGATCGACTGGAGACCAGTGGTTCCTCAAGGGACCAGAGGGAAATCAGCAGCTGTTGCCGTTTTTCCTCTGAACCCACGTTGTGGGAAGGCGGTGTTGCAGGCGCGATGCCTGGGTAGTTGTGTATGGTGCGGTGCGGTGCGTGAGAACCTTGATGGCCTCTGGCGCGAAAATGCGGCCTCTCTCTGTCTGGTGACGGAGGGGCTAAATTGGCCAGCGTAACATTGAAATCCCTGTCGCCTCTGTCAAACACTCTGCAAAATATATGACCATAATCTAATAGGACGTACCTATTGGTCTAGTTTGAAATTGTAGCGACGATGTCGCGTCGAGTCTCTTTTTTTCTAAAGCGATATTGAGGGATTGGCTCGGTCGCCCAGAACAAGTGTGTTTGTCGCGCTTCAAGGGCTGTCCAAAGGCGATGACCCCTCCCCTTCATATAGTCGGCATCGACCCTCCTGGCCCAAATATCTGAGAACCTTATTTCGCGAAGTGATGGTGGGCATGTCGGTGAGATCTCTTGCGATTTCTCTCATGTGTCTCTGAATAAGGCATTGCCGCCAAGCACCACGACTTTCCTAACCTCTAGAGAGGCTGACTTGACAGCATGGGGGGTGCGGACAGAGACCACAAAGGGGCTCGTGGTAGGCAAATGACCCACATTGGTGGTCTTTCCAGCGGGCGAGTGGCTCTTCATTGGCCAAGCCGATATCTAATGGTTGAATACGTAAGCAGACATCCATGAAGTCCCTTACTGTGCTGTTTGCTCTGGGATCTGTGCATCGCCGCCAACCGGCCCTCGTCCAAACCTACCCGGTCGTCATCCTCGCACCCAACTCTCTTGACGTAAAACATAAATACGCCATCGCCTGGTTATCCCACGATCTGCATGCAACTCTAACGCCTCAACTGATGGGGGGGGGAATGAGAAACCCCGCTTTGAAGAGCCATCAACCTTTGCCGGCACTAGCCACAGTCAGGGAAATGGTCATCAACGTACGTTGCTGCTCGTATCGCCCTTCAGTTAAAGCTGGTGGCTGCATCGCCATTGAGCTTCAAGATGCGCCTTGTCGGCCCAGATCCGATAGCTAAGAGCTGTCGGAAGATCTATAAGCTAAGCTAGCTCTCTGCTAGCTGGTCAGTTGCCCTGCAAAAGACGAAAAGTCTAAAATCGCACGTAGGCTGTAGCGAACGAAGAAGGAAGGCGAGGAAACGCATGCGACACTAGCAGAGCAGTGACCTCAACTCAATATCAACCACCCCCGTGTAAATGCCTTGAGTGAGATGACACCGAGGGGGGGATGAACAGAAAGTTCGCTCGCTCGGGATCTGGAAATTCTCGCCATGCCCTTTGTGCAGCTTACCTGTTGTATTCTGATGCCCAGAAGAGCTACGCCTTTGTTGGAGTTTTGGCCATTGGCCAAGCTTCTTCCTTTTTTTTTCTTTTTTCTTCTTTTTTTTTGCTCGCTGTCCCCCGGTTGGCTTGCTTCTTTGGGAGTACTTACACAAGGTATCCTCCATAGTACCGTAATCCTGTCTCGGGCCAAGGACCCCGCCCCCGCTGTGGCCTGTAGAGAAAACAGCCTAGGGAAAACACAAGTGACTGTCACTGCGCGGCCAGAGAACAACCACGGGTCCTTGTCCACTATTAACCCCAGCCCCGCTAGCGTCATCTCCGTCGGGTGGCAGGGTAGCCAAGTCGAGTGTGTAGTGTACCTATACGGAGTAGGCCGTCGCAAGTCTTGGCTTCATATCGATAGACGAGGTTGCCTTACGCGGCCACTCTGTTTCCCCGACCAAAACCAAACCCCTTTGACTTCTTTCCTGCATGACCTATTCTCTATTTTCAGCTGCACGATGTGCGAACGCTCCCATCGCGCCCACGAACCTCGCAGACGTCATACCACTCTGTAAAGGCGCATTGCGTCTGACGATCGCGTACGCCCGGAATCCCCGCCTTCCCGGAATACCTACACTGACGTACACTCCGGCCCCGAATTAACCCATCACCTCCGCATTCCGACTTCGCCCCCGTCCTACCCCACGCGCGAACGACTTGCATCGAAACGCCCCTCGCCCGCCTGCACAATCATAACCAGACTCGGTCCCAGACCGCAGACGACACACCGCGAGCCGTTACACACCCGGGCACCCGAACCTCGAACTTCCCGCCGTCATGGGCTCCGTCTGCGGCAAGGAGGATAAGGGGGACAACTTCACCTCCCCCGGCCGCCCCCTCGGCACAGCGCCCCCGCCTCAGCCAAAGACCGCGCCCATTCCCTCCAGGGTCGGCGGACCCCCGCGAACCCTCGGCGGCGGCAGTGGTGACGGCAGTGGCGGCGGCGGCGCATCCGGCCAACAGTCCGCCGACGCGGCCGAAGCGAGGCGCAAGGCCGCTGAAGCAGCAGAGGTAAGCATTTCTCGGCTATTTCTCCTCTCCCCCCGCGTCCCCCACATTTTCATGGTCTCGGCCTCCACGGCGCACACCGCCAGTGGACCACAGCTCCTAGAGCATCTAGTCAGCTGACTGAGAGACCCCCGACAGACCCGGGCAAAGGCAGCGAGCAAGTCGACGGGGAAGCTGTCCTCGCAGCTCAACGCGCAAAAGAAGCAAACCCAGACCGACCTGCTCAAGGACGCCAGTGCTCAGCAGCTGCGACAGAGGGACGCCGATGCCGCCGCAGAGGCGAGAACGTATAACTAAGGCCGAGATACATGCGACAAACGTGGCAAGCTAAAGAGGAGGATGGGTAGAGACAAGCGTTTGAGGGATTTTCTTTCTAGACTGAATAGTGGACGTGGAGGTGCGCGTTGTTTTGACAATACATTTTTGGCTTCTGTTTTCAATCCCTCTTTCATTGTTCAACATTTCCGGCGTATGGGGAAGCAAGGTCTACGTTATTTACTTCACATACTTCTGGACTGACTGGCCCGAGAGCCTGAGAGATGTAGTTGAGCGCAGAACACCATTCAATATAATGGGGTTCCAGTTTCATGAATTAAAAAAAAGGGAATAAAAAGCGACATCTTACAGTATAATCAATTGGACTCCATAGGCTCAAAATACAAACAAAGACAAAATCAGGGTTTCAACGAACATTTCTCAATTGCTTCCAAGTGATTAAAATATCACCGTTGTTCCTCCTTGTACTCCCTGGACCTGGCCGGTTGCCCTAATTTGTTGATGGGAAAGGAAACCGGCTTTGATTGTATGACAACCTCTTCGCCGACGCTGGCCAAACGTAGACCATCCGGTTCAAGTTGCCCTGCTGCACCTCGAAGAGCGCCCCTTTCTCAAAAACGCCACCGTAGATTGTATCCTTAAATGTACGATATACTACAACAAGCACAGGCAGTAGTAGGCTTATACAACGTTGTAACGTCCGGAGGCAGGAGCACGGCTGTCAGCCGTAGCAGCGGCCACAGTCCCTTCGCTGAGGAGTCGGGTAAGCTCAGTCATGGCAGCTCCTACCACAACCTCAGTGTCACCTTCAACAAGAATGTACAACTTAGGGTCTGCGCCCGGCGGCACTTCCTTCCCAGCTGGGTAGAATGTTCCCTTGGTCGTGATCGATACGCCAGTGGCCTCCAGGATCTTGGCAACGTTGGTTCTGTTCGTGACAGCCCATCTGGCCTTTTGCGGGAAGTCGTTGATCTCGAGCGTGGCGTGGTAGGCGCCAGCGTCGGGGCCCTTGTTGTCGATGGGCTGGCCCGAACGAAGCTGACCAGCTTTGCCGAGTCTCTCGTTAATGTTCCTGATCGCTGCACTGACCATGTCGAGAGGTTGACCTGCTTTGCCTGTGGCGGCCGGTGCGTCCTTGCCCTTGGCATCTCCTTCATGCTTGCTGGTGTTGCGGGACACAATAGCCGACACCTTAGACTGGATATCAGTAACGGAGCTCTTGACTTTGTCCTCCTCGGTTTTCTCTTCCTTGACGTCATCATCTTCACCCTCAGCCTTATGAGTCTTGCGCTCACGGAGACGGGCAGCTTCGCGCTCAGCATCCAATCGGTCCAGACCCTTGCCACCAAAACCAGAGGAGTCCTTGGCTTTGCCTGACTTGACTTTTTCCTTCCAGGCCTTGCGCATCTCTTCGAGACGCTCAGGTACAGGTTGACCGCTCTGCTCAAGTGCTTTGGCGACCGCAGATGCGCAACTTTCCTGTTCCTCGGTGATGTAGGTTACGGCAGTACCCTTGTTGCCCGCTCGACCTGTTCGTCCGCAACGGTGGACATAGTCTTCGGAGTGGGAGGGACTGTATCTATGTTAGCTAAAGTGTATCGACAGTTTCAACGGAAATGGAGGGGAGAAACGTACCAATCAAAGTTGACGACCAGCTTGAGCTGCTTAACGTCTAAACCACGAGCGGCAACCGAGGTCGCAATAAGGATAGGGACAATGCCCTTCTTGAAGTCTGAGATGGTGGAGTCTCTATCAACCTGGTCTTTGCCACCGTGGATGGACATGCACGGGTAGCCCTTGGTCATGAGTTCCTTGAGCAAGTCATCGGCCTTTTCTTGACGTTCAACAAAAACAAGGGAACGAGCATCTTCGTCTTTGTCATAAAGCTCACCGAGAAGTCCCAGCAGATGGTAAAACTTTTGGTCTTCGGGAACAATCTCAACAATTTGCGTGATATCTGACGCGACAACACTGCGGCCTCCGACCGTAATCTCGACCGGAGACTTGAGCACCTTCTTGGTCAACGAGTCGATGATGCGGGGCATCGTCGCCGAGAACAGGATGGTTTGACGATCCGGTCGAATGTTTGCGAAGATCTTCATAACCTGAGGCTCAAACCCCATATCGAACATGCGATCTGCCTCGTCAAGCACAGCATATGTCACACGACGCAGGTTCGTGACGCGACCCTGGTTGGCGGCGAGCAGATCGATCATACGGCCGGGTGTGCATACGACAATTTCCGCGCCGCGCTTGAGCTCGGCAATCTGTTCTCTAATGGGTGCACCACCATAAGCACAGACAGATCGCAGGCCCATTGCCTTCAAGAAAGGCTTGCAGTCGCGATGAATCTGGACGGCCAACTCACGAGTTGGTGTCATGATTAGACCAATAGGGCCGTCAGTGTCCTTGAGAGGGGGCTGGTCCATGATATGACGGAACATAGGGAGAAGAAAGGCAAGCGTTTTACCCGATCCAGTCTTGGCAACACCAACAACATCGCGGCCTGACATGATGACGGGGAGAGCCTGCATTTGAATGGAAGTGGGTTTATCGAATCCCATATCTGCGAGGACATCCAGAGTGCGGCGTGTCAACCCGCACTGCGCCCATTTTTGGACGGGTTTCGGGATGTTCTTGCCAGAGACTTTGATGCCGTCAAGTTCCAAACGGAGCTCATTGGCTTCTTCCTCAGTCAGGGCCGCAAGCTCCGCAGGTTCGACCCAGAAATTCTTGCGAATAGGGTGCAGGTCGAGCTTGCTATAGTCTACTGTCGGGATGTCCTTCTTCTTGCGTTTCGCTGCCATGGCCAGAACTGCGTTGGGGTCTTTGCCATCTTCAGCCTTGAAAGCGTAGTCATCGTCACTGAAGTACGCCTCTGGCTCTTGGACCTTCTTCGATGATGTACTTGCCTGGAGAACCGTAGGTTGGGCTTTAGTGTCTGACAAATCGGCCATGAATGCATCCAAAGGATCAACATCATCTTCCTCTTCGACATCCATCTGGTCGGCTTGATGATCCTCGGCGGTGCCGTTGGTGTCCGGCGGTGGTGCAGCGTCTTGCATGTCGAGGTCGGCCTTTACTTCTTCTTGCGCTTCTTGCGCTTCTTGCGCTTCTTGCGCTTCTTGAAGCTCTCTCTCACGCCGTTCATGTGCTGCACGTGCGGCGGCAGCAGCCTCCTCCTCAGTTCCGGCGAAATTGCCACCATCGGACTCGTCGTCCTCATCTTGATCAGCATAGGGGGTGTCATCAGCCTCGAGGGGAAGTGCGGGCAACTTCGTAAGTTTTCTTTTCGTCCCCTCCTCCTCATCGAGGTCCAGCTTGCGCTTGTTTGCAAGCTTCTCGCTGTCAGCTGCAGCCTTGCTGAAGCCAAAAGTACTCAAGTTGCGGTTGGCGGGCAATGCCGAAGCTGTTGTCGTTTTGTAAGCGTGTATCTCTCTCATAGGACGTGACGCATGCATACCCTTTGTGATCGGTGCGAGAGGAGCAGATGACTTTTCAGGACGGCCCTCGAGCGAGCCCAATACCCCGTTTGTACCGGCATTCTTGTGCGACGCTGCCGACTTCTTGGCGATAGCCTTGGGGTCAAACTTACCCGCAAAAGGGGCCGGGGATGCAGCTCCTGACGCGGTGGTCTGAGTCGGCGCAGGCGATGCCGCTCGAGGGGATGCAACGGCAGGTGATGCGACAGTGGGCGAAGCGACAGATGGTGAAGCAGCGGCCGGAGACGGCACGGACTTCTTGTCCATCTCCGCAAGGAGATTTCTAGTCTGACTCGGATTAACCTCATTCTCTTTATTGGCCTTGCTCTCCCTGCTCTTCTTCCACGCCTCGAGTCGGGCGAGTCGCTCGGCCTTCTTGTCAGCTTCGGTCTGAGCTGGGGCGGGCTTGGGCTTGGCAGCCTGCGAATCCGTGTCAGCGATCATAGTTCCATGATGAAGGAGAGTCTGTCTCACCTCTTTACCGGGAATGCTTGCACTCTCTGGAGGCGCCGCAGGGCGTGGGCGGCTGTCGTCGCGCCTGCTGCGAGGACGGGAGTCAGCAGTTCCCTCTCGCCTTGCGCGGATTCGATCTCTAGAGTCGTCCCGTCTCGGGCGATTATCTCTATCGCCGTCGCGGGGTCGCCGTCTGTCCAAAGAACGATCAGGGTCGGCATATCTGTCGCGTGACCTCCTGCGGTCTCTATGACGGTCGTTATCTCGTCGGCCTCCGCGGTAGGAATCATCGTCTCGACGGTCTACAGAGCGCTCTCTACGGCGGAAGGAATCGCGATCACGGTCGCGGTCGCGGTCGCGGTCTCGGTATCGGCGCTGTTCGTAGTATTGGTCAGATTGCTCCCCATCATGTCTCCCTCGGTGGTGGCGGCCTCTCACGTCGGCAGGTGTCCTGGACCGCGAGCGACGGCGGTAGTCTCTACCACCGTCATCGCGGCGGTCCCGATCACGCCTGTCATCTTCTTTGCGGGGGCGTCTCGCATTATATTGGCTTCCTGCAGGCGATGGTGAGCGCGAGTCCCTGGTCCGAGCCATGTTGTAGGTCTCGAACTCTCAGCAAGACACTACGTTTGGTGAGAGCTACTTTTTCGGCAGGTTCTTCACTCGAGGGTGTCACCAGTGGTGATTCTCAGCTCTTGTAGTTCTTGGATGCGAACAGACTGCGTTGTGTTGTTGTTGTTGCAATTCCACAGTGTTTGTTGAGCTGACGATCTGATGGCGACAGGTAGCTTCTGAAGTTTGAGGTGAGGGGCGGGTAAAGGTCGCGACGTGATAGATCAGATGAAGATGCGCCCCAGAACGGAGGCTGACTCCCCAAGTTTTTAGCCATGCATGATGCACAGACCATCCCTCCAGCCACATCAGAATCTCAACTTGTGGCGCTTCATCACCAGCTTCCTTTTGCACTCATCTGTTCACTCACACCACGATCAAGTGCTTACATTCCGTACATACCATACTCCTTCGCATTCGAAGCCAAAGCTGCACTAAAAAGATGGGTGGCCTGGTCGCATATGGCAGTAGTGA